TGTTCTACAGAAAAGAGCTGCAAGTTATCACCAGAAAGCATTATTATCACCCATCAAATTCATTGTTCCATCAGTTGAAGTTATTGAAATTCTTGATTTGGTTGATTATGGTATTTTATCAGTTATGAATAGGGCTCATAAAACACATTACCTTCAAACATTCAATTAAGTGTCTATGTGTGTTCACACTTGCTGGTGTTAAATTAACATTTGTGAAAGTGTTAAATTTTAACACCCATTTTTTGTTAATTTAACACCAGCCAGTGTTTGATATTCAACCATATTTGGTGTCACAGTTAGTTAGTTAAGTTTATTAATTTTTTTAAAAACAACAACATAAATTCAACATACAACAAAAATACAAATCATAAACCAAATGAAAGGCAGCAGAAAAAGAAAAAAATCTTCTTATATCTGCCCCTTTTTCTCAAATAAATAAATTCAATCAAAAATAATCTTTAATTTATGAAAACAAAACAAAAAATAACTAAAAATAATAAAGGTTTAACTCATTGAACAACAATTCATTTCTCCAGCAAACTAGCCTTTATCATTCTCTTAAATATACACATTGATCTGGCATTTTTAATGACATCTTCCAGATTATTCCATAATCTTATACCCTGGACTGAAGTACAGTGTTCCCTTAAACTGGTTCTAAATTTGGATTTACCAAACATCTTTATCCCCTTGAGATTATAACAACTTTCTCTTTTAACAAAGTAACTGGTGTTGTAAAAGTAAAACAGTAGGGATACATTTTGATCTTGGTCTTGCTCATACTATAGCCATTAGCTAAAGGTAGCCTCTACGACTGAGAATGCCTTGCAACATTAGTTTGTTTCATGTGTTCAATTTCCTTGCCTGAAATTCAGTTTTGTGTTGTTGTATTTTTTTTTTTTTGGTTTTTTTTTTGTTTTCTTGCTTTAAATTTTACTTCAACATATTTTCTCTCAAACTAGACAGAGTTGGTGTAGGTGTCTCAAACCCATCTTAAATTAAATTTGGACTTCTTCCACCCATCACAAGTGCAACAGTGGTACATTTAGAGCTTTCTGACAGAAAACATATTGAAGTCAAGCTGATAAAGAATATTAGTTTAAAATTAGTTCCAAAAATGGCCATCTTTCCCACATAGCAGATAGACATGGACCAGATCTGGTGTCAAGCTGGCACTGCTGGCATGGCAAATGGTTTGTCAATCAGATGTGGGCCAGGTCTGGCAATGATGGAACTGTTTTTAAGATGGTGTGCCACAACTGGCCCAATTGTGGTTTGGTTTTATGTGGCCAAAACTTGTCAATGCCACAACTGGTTTGGTTGTGATTTGTTTTATGTGGTGCTGGCCCATGCATGGACCACCTTTGGCAAATCACATCTGGGCCACCAAAGGCTGTCATTCTTTGGGGTATCTGAGCCAAGTGTTAGTGTGCATTCACACAGCCCTGTTTAGTCCAATTTTGTCAAACTCTAGTTCATTTGCCTAGAAAGTCTGGTTTGTTTGGAGAGGTGTGAACTCATAARTGAACTCTGATGCAGACCAAAAGAATTGAACTTTGCTCCACCTACAGTGGCTTGGCTTGGCTCGCTTGAGCTCTGGTGCGGTTCGAATGCATGTGTGAACGCCAAGCGGTCTGGAAACTGCTTCAAAAGCAGGAAGTGGACTATAACACGGGGTATTCTGAGTAATAGTAATAAATTTACTCATATACCTTGCTCATCGTCGCTACTATGAAGTTAGAATCTCTCCTACTCGGTACACGCCACCTCATACAGCGCTGTCTCAGCCACCTTGTGTGAAAAACAACATTCTCCATGCTGCCTCATCTACTGCTCATGCTGAGCCCATTGTTGAAGAGTGTTTGTTTGGCACGTTTGAAAAATGATTTTATATTTTTGGCAGAAGTGCTTTCTTCAGCTAAATGCAAACAACCATCAAATTATACATAAATAATGCAAAATTAACAAAGGTTTGCAAATTAACATTTACATAAAGCGCTACAATATACAAACGGAGAAGCAAACCACTTGGCTCTTGGCAACCACTCGCACTTGGTATTAGTTCATTGATTCAGTCAGAATTCAACTGTATTTCCCAAACTGAGGTCATTCTGCATGATTTTAATCACTCATATCCTTTCCATTAAACCCCACCTCAAAAGATTTGAACTCTGCCCTCAGAAGGACAAATAATAAACTTGTGATTTTCCAGAATGATGTCAGCATTAAAGTACCGTGTTACTGTAAGACAGCTTGACAGGCCTGCTGCGCGGCGCTCAGAACCTGTCGTGGGGTGTTTGAAAATGTAGCCTTTGCACGCCAGATAGGCTTTTTTGTCTGGGAGAAAATTTTGAGGAGTTAGCCACATTTCCCGGACCATCTGCTTCAAATGAATCAGACAAAGGAGAAGAGCGGCGTCAGGAAACATCCCCAATGTTGCCTGGGAGACAGAGGTCACATGAGAGGATGAGTCACGCGAACCCAGAAGTACCTAGAAAGACTATTGAACGGCCCCACATCATGGCGCTCCTCGCAGTTCGACGACGTGCAGAAGGATTAGTGTCGTGTCAGTGCATAAATGACAGAGAGAGAGAGAGAGAGAGAGAGGGAAAGAGAGGGAAAGAGAGGGAGAGAGAGGGAAAGAGAGAGTGAGAGAAACTGCCCTTGGCAAAAGACCAGAGTCAAACTTTCAGAGTTTGATTCCTCAATGGGAATCCACCACAGTGCCAGTTACTGTTATTGTCTATCAGTTCTATCGGCATGTGGGTCTTCTTCAGCTCTGTGGCTTTGTGTGTGTGTGTGTGTGTGAGTGTGTGTGTGTGTGTTGATGTGGACCTGGAGAGTAGGGAGTTAATGCAGGCAGGGCTGTGGCAGTCCTCCTGCCCCTCAGCCAGATTAATCATGCAGGAGAGACACAGCAGGCCCCCGTTCACTCTGCCTGGGGGTGAAGCTGTGCCCGCATGCTCTCCGTATCACATGGCTCACCCCCCTTCTCCCCTCTCCCCCACTCACTCTTTTCCCCTCTACTGGGGGTGCTGTGGATGGTCCTAGCGTTGAAGGAGGAGGTGTGTGGGGGGAACGCCACAGCACGCACTGTGGTTTTCTTTCTGTCGTTCTTCCACATTGTTGTTTTTCACRCTCTTCCCTTCCTCGTCTGTGGGTGTGAAAAAAAGAAAGAAACAGGCGTCCTCTCCCGCAACAACAACAACCTTTTTTTTAAACCTCCCTTCGGAGGGCCCTAARGACGACACAGGCCTGGCTCACCGGATGAAGAGAAGAAGTGTGTAGGGCTGAAGGGGGGTGGGGTGGGGGTAGGGGGGGGCATACCAAGGGACCCGCCACAGATATCTCCTGGAAACTGCTCGACGACGTCTCTGCGTATCAGAGAACAGCCAGGGCCATTGTTGGGCTCGTCGGGAGATGGAGATCTAAGCGGTGGAGCACAGATGCGTGCTTCAGCACTTTCTGTGTGTCTGCACAATACAAGCTGTATGTGTTAGACCTCTGGAAAAAAGAAGAAAAAAAAGACGCCTTTTTTGTAAACTTTATTGAGAACAGTGCATGTAGGTGTAGACTTGCAGAATTTGTGATGAGTTTTTCATATAAGAYCATAATATGACAGTGTGGTCTCCTGGGCCTGCAAAAATAAGAGAACTGTAACTCTGAGCAGCAGGTTTAACTACTTTACAGGTAAAATTGCTTGTTTTTTTTAAAAAAAATTATATACTGCCTTACCTAAAATCAGTATTATTTTAGCTACAACTGTAACTTGACATGTATGAATTTGTGATTTATTTATTTATGCTCAAAAATGTGTTTCCTGGTAGTGATAAAAACAGTCCAAACAACAACAATAATCAGACTTGTGATCTATGTCCAGTTTATTGTTACTTCTGTGCAAAACTGATTGTTTACTGGGATTCATTTTCCATTTTTCTGCCTCTGGAAGTTCAAAAAGATCAAACTTGAACTAGTTTCTTAGAAAGGTCATGGACATTTACCTGTACCTGTTGATGATGATTTGAATGARTTCAGATTGAAGCTAACAGCTAGTTTGTGGGAAGTGAAAACCAAAATACTGTAGATTGTTGCTTTTTTTAAAAACCTTGTCTCAAAAGTTTATAACTGTTCACTCAAACATCACGTTATAAACCTTTACATTGCAGTCAATGCAGCACGGTTAATCCAGCAGAAATCTAATGGGTGCACCAAAAGTGCTACAGCTAGCTGCTGCTACAGTAAACAAGTAATGCAAAGGTTAATTAAATTGCTTTAACAGGAGCCACTGTTTAGTCTTTGCAATTGGAGTTGTTTTAACTCGACCGCAARAGTTCCTGTTTCAAGTGGTCATGGTGTGAAAGTTGGGGGTACATCCTAGGGACTAGCAGCCCATCAATTAAAATCTCTTAAATACAAGTTGCTCATAAAACCTGTAATGAGTTTGTGTCATGTCCAGGGTCGACCTGCACAATGACCGCTGGAGCTCCCTGCAATATTTGAAGTTAATAAAAATCACAGCAAACAGGTAAAGTTGGTAAATTTATCATTATTTATCAGCCATATGTTGGTTTGTTTGAACTATTGCATTTAGTTTCAGGATCAAGATTAGATCCAGACTCAAAACACCCTTCAGCTCAGTTAAAACAATCATTTTTAATGGAAATAAAAACATGCTTTTGTTTTAATGGATGCAGCCTGTTGAGAGCCGTTTTATGACACAAGCTGTCTAGTCTCATGTTTGATAAAAAGCCACCAACATGTAGGAAACTGCTTTTTATATTCATCCTATGRTTTAGTGTGACAGAAGCATTGATTTGGTTTTATTCAAATTCAGACTTTGTTAATGACACTTTTCCTGAGCAGCAGAAAAGGATTGTTACAAATCAAATGGAGTAAAATGTAAAAAAAAAAAAAAAAAAATCCTGCTCCTTTCTCCTCTTTATCAGGTTGCTCAACATGCACCAAAGTAAACCTGATGTTTAATTAAAACCACACATACAAATGTCAAAATGTTTTAATTTTGGTCCCAGGCAAAAAAAGTGATTTATTTCACAGGTTTGGAAAACATTCAGTGAAAATTAAACCAGAAATGTCTAAGAATTGGCAAATGAAAAGACCCTGATTGGGCAAGCTGATGTAAACGTCACAGAAAAAGTAAGAAAACTTGGATTGGTTGACTATTTTTGTTGTAACAATGCTTCTTGACAATAAATCTTAAACAGTTAAAAAGTATTTTTTTTTCTTGTAAAATGGGGCCACATAAGTAAAATGCAGAACAGAAACAAACAGCAAAATTATTCCAAAAAAAATCCACTTTAATTTTTACATTGCGTGCCTATTAAAAGAGCTTTGTTCAAAGACTAACATCCCGTTACAAAATATGTCTCCATAAAAAACAAAAAGCAACAATAAAACAGAACTGAGAATAAAACAAGAACAGCAACAACAACAGTAGCACAGATCTGGATTATTTGGCAGCGGCTGTCTAACTTGCCAGGGTTTGATCCACTGGGAGTGACAGATGAGTGTGCGTTTGGCACCGTCATTGGTCCACAACAGGTCGCAGCGAGACTGCTGCCAGGTGGCAAAGGGAGACGTCCGCTGTGCTGTGACAAATAAACAACCCGACACTATTCCCTGGGAGGAGAGCGGGAGATGAGGGAGGACCCTTCTGCACCAAATTTCACTCCTCTCTGCCTATCCATGCTCTTTGTTTTGGTCAAGGAAAAACAGAATTTAGGAGGGAAATAACGGAGTTGTGTTTGTGAGGGACTGCAGGAGTGAATACAAATGTCCTTTGATTAAAACTGGTTCTAATTTTATTGAAACTACCACCTATCGATCACCTATGTCTTTAAGATGCAAATATTTTATAAACTGTTTATTAGGTCTTCATATGAAAAAGGTCAAATTAAATTTTACCAAGCAGTGAACCTGGGTTTTTTTTCTCTTCTTGCTTATTTTTAACTGTTATTTTTTAAAAGCGGGYTTCTGTGGAAACATAATGGAGAAATAATATCTTACCTGCTGTAGATAGTTTCTTTGAACAATATAAGCTTTGAGGAACAGTTTTTTCTGACTGCATTGACAAGCTCAAATTCACAAGTCCAAGCGGAGCCAAAGGAAACTATCATTTTAAAACAACTTCAATCTCAAAAATGTCATCGCTGTTCACAAAAACAATATTTTATCAGCACTTATACTGTCACCAAGTTTTCATTGAATGGTTTTTCAGGCAGAAATTTCAGTTATATTCCTGCAGGATGTGCCTCAGGCTGAACCAAAAAGGACACATTTAATTGCTGCTGCTTTCTGTGCTCGTATATAAACCACAAAATTAAATAATCACATACAAATTGACTTTATCAAAGTGTGTGTAATAGTTTTTGCATGAACCATTAAGAAGTTTAACACCTGGGAATTTATGGTAGAAATAAATTTAGTGCAATCTAATTTAGCYGAAGCTAACCGGTCCAAAGTTAGCAAAAGTGCTATTCCGCAAAAAGTGAAGTTAGTTCCTCTATTAGTGGATTTGCGGAATTGTGCCCATCACTGTTAATTGTTCATAAATTTCCACAAAACCCCCATTTTCAAAGATTTGATCTTATTGCTTTAGTCAACAAGTAAGACGAGAGAAAATGAAGTAGACCCAACAGCAAGTAAAGGATGTGACAGGTTACAGAAAAAATAAAATTAAAGCTCTTGCCAAAGAAAGAACTTGCACCAATGCATAAAAATGTTTAGTGTTCAATAATTTATAAAGTGTTTACAACCTAATTAAAAACAATGATAAAGCATAAATTATTCAAAGGAAAGTCATTTGGCAAAGTGGTGCCGAATCACAACCTGCAGCAGGTACTGATATGCGCACAGACTTTGTAAATAAGAAAAACTGTGCTAAAAAGTAGATTTTTTTTCTCTCACTAAATATTTTAATACAATCAATTACTTTAGAGCTCATTTCCCCCAAAAAAGACAGTTTACAGTAATGCAGCATCCAAAAATAAATGTAAAAAAGTCTTTCCGCTCAAACATTTCATGAACTTTATGATTTCAGTGCTCCGTTTAATTCCCTGACCGGGGCGACYAAGGTGTTTGTCATTGTTCAATATAGTCAAGAGGAAAGGTCACATGGAGACTGGGRGGGTGTCTGTCCATCATTCTGTAAGGATTACCTGGTTGTTAAACGCAAGTGACTAGGTTTGGTGGGAAGTGGTGGCTTAATTCCTCGAGAAGCGCCTTGTGTCGGTGGGTCGACGCTAAAGTTTTTCATCAGCTGAGCCACTCGGCCACGCCCGGCACAATCTGATGCATTCCTRGACATCCCAGCCTCCTCCAAGCCTGGCTGACGACATACTACTGRATCAAAACCTACAGAAAGACAAAATTATATCAATTTAAAAACTGTTTAATCTGAAAGTTTCATTGTAAAATGTGATTTACGGTAAAATGTGGTGGTCTTGTTTCACTGTGCAACATTAGCTGATATTAGCTTTGAAATAGATTTTGTTTTMTTAATTAAAAGATACAGTATTTTAGGAAAATATGTCCGATGAACGGTTTCTGAATAAATATCGTTTAGGCTGATTCTTTCAAGTGATCCAACTTCATAGTGGTTCATATGAATGGTTCCACTGTGGGAGTCATTTTTCGTTTAGTGGATTAGCATTTTCTTTAAGTTTGAAACCTGTTAGCAGACCAATTAGCATCTACTAAATTATATTTTGCCAACTTTAGGTCTGCTAACAGCTAACTAATAAGCTAACGTCTACAGGTCTTTGTCAGTCCCACCAGTCTTCAGCTCAAAGGTCGATGACAAAGGATGCAGACTGAGTGACAGTTAGCGATTGGTGGTTAATGTGTACTTGTTTAGCCATTTAACATTAGCTTCCACTAACTATTTTTTACATGTTTAGCAGTTTAACATTAGAGAAGCTATATTTCTAGTTAGCAGATTATAAGCTAACAAAAGCTAACTTTTTGGTTAGCTGTGTCCACCACTTCTAAAATCTAGTGGAAAAGTACAGCAGTTTGAAAATCAAGAAAACCTTGTTTGTTTGAACCTTCTCTAAAATTAAGTCGCTCAAGAGCTAACAGGTTACACACTGTTTGCTCACAACCCCTCCACAGAATSTCACTTTAAAAAAAAGAATAACTTTTTAAGACCAATCTGCACCCTGAGCCATGTGCAGTGTAGGCTTGATTGTTTTTTAGTTGTTTGATATATGTTAGTTTTAAGTTTGGCTAGGCTTAGTACTAATTACCAACCATAGTTTTCATTCTGTTTTTTTAACACAAACAACAGTAGTATGTATATTTTAACAGTAAAACCTTTGTGGTGTCGCCAGAACTAACTTCCTGGAAACAGAATCAATGGAGGAGCAGCTTGTTGGGTTTCACGGCATTGATTACCACACCTAAAGTAAAGCCTTTACCCCYTGTTGCTCATTGGTAAAGCTTTTAATGTTTGAATGTGCCAGGGTAACATAAAGGAAATGCATCATAATGCAAACTAAATTCATCTAGATTTGTAAACCTAAATGTACAATTATTTCCTAAACATAACCAAACAGGAAGTGAGAAGAAAATAGAGGAAAGTAAGCAAAAGCAAAGCAGTTTGTATGTTTTCTCATGATGGTAATGTGTATTAGTATGTCAGTAAACAATGTAAACAAATACATGTGCTGCAAAAGATGAATCTAGTTCTGTTCTGTAAGAACTGAGCCAATATCTTTTTCTCCAGATGTCATGAGTGCATCTTTCCTGACTCTTTCCTGTCGTTTTTTTTTTTTTTTTTTTTACATTCGCCTGCCTTTATCCAGCTCCGGGTCAGCAGAGGTCACCCTCCGAGGAAGTGTAGCTGTGGGGTGGGGGGACACAGCTGGGTGTCGTTTGTGTGTACGTGCCTTCGGAAGGTACTGCGTTTGGAAGAGGGTGTAATTTGAGGGAGGAATGAAGGGAACAGGAGTAA